ACAAATGTGGATATATTATGAATTTACTTTGCATAAAGGGCCTTAGGTTAAATATGCATATTGCAAACTGTGCATTTATGCTGAGTCATCATAGTAAAGGCCCAGGATTTTCTCAATCTTCATGAAATATTTATAAAACTTAATATTTGAGTTAATTTCATTAAGACTCTGAAGATAAACCAGATTTGGTAAAATTCTACATGTTCTCTTTTTTTCGCCCAATATAGGTTGCACTTCTGTAAATATAGACAATGCTATTTCCCAAAGGAACTCCTTTTACGGCTTAAACTGTACAACTTTTACTATGAAGTTTCGTTAAAAATTATAACATAGAATGGAAAGTTTATATGCACTATTATTCTTTTCAAAGCTCAAAATATAGGACTGTGCGGCTTATTTTCATCATTTATATGCCCCGAACTTCTTAGAGTTTAAACTTATACTAAAAATCTTTACTACTTTTACTACTATCTTTTGACATAACCCTGGTACATCAACTTTTTGCTCAGACACTGGTGACGTTTGATAAAGTCTGAGTAGCAGCTGCAAGCTCTTGAATATTGAATGAGTTGAAAAATCTATATCCCATATGCAGGTGAAGTTAGTATATTGCTGGGAAAATTCAAAATTAAAATCGTCTCGTTTGTCATAGATTCTGGTACTGAGATGACCGCTTATGTCAAATTCGAGGTATAAGTCTAAAAATGAGGCAGAGGAAGCCGTGTCTGTTGTTTCTTTAATTTCTAGTTCTGGAGATTTATTAATGGAACCCAATCAGAAAAGTATGGATTCTTAATGGAAATGGAAAGAACATCATCAATATATCTAAATGTGAAATTAAATGATCTGGCTTCTTTGATCTTCTTGTTTTCGACATATGTTTGAAGGAACTTCGACTCATATGAAAATAAGAAGAGGTCGGCAAGGAGAGGCATAGAGTTCGTTCTCATAGGAATGTCGACAATTTGTTGAAAAAGTCTACTTCCAAATTCAACAAATATGTTGTCAAAAAGATACTCCAGGATACTAATCACTTGTTCCTCTGTGTAGCATGTTTTACTTTTTTGTTCACCATTAACAAAATATGCCTCATGGTATCCCGAAGTAATAAATTTATAGCGTATGCTACCATTTTTATGTTGAAAAGCATTGTGGATTGTTTCTTCTAGACGATTTTTCAATTTCACATGGGGAATGGTGATATACAGGGTTGAAAATCTAAAGTTTTGATAGAACTAATTTCAAAGAAAGATCGAGATTTAAAATTATCCAGAACTTCTTTAGAATTTTTTAGAATCCCCAAATGGTTAATACCACTACGCGATTGAACAATTTCACAGTATATCTGAAGACCCTTTTTCACTGCGGACAGAATTTATGTCAATCTAATGGACAATTCCTTCGTCGAACATGCAGATGAGCTGGCAATGTACTGTTGTTTGTACGGAATTTTGTGAAGCTTAGATATCCGATACAAACAAGGTAAGTCCTCCGATTTGCTGTTCAATGTAATGTTCATTGAAGCCATACAAAGTGCAACCTATAACTAAGGGGATCTAACCAAATGTGTTCAGCGCTAAATGCAAATTTTCACTTTGGGCACTTTATTTTTAAATCACATGAGCCATGTATTTGTCTATGGTTAATATCGTCAAAATACGGATTTCGGTCGTATTTGCTCCGCGATTCGTTTAATTTTTCAATGGCGGTCGAAGAAAAAATTACTAAAATAAACAATCTTTGATGAGCGAGTTGGAAAGGCATATGACTTTTATAACGCAATAAGTGGATCAAACTTAAGGCCATTATAGGCATTTTTTCAGGAAGTAACACATTATTTTTGCCGAAAATCAAAATCTTTAGATGTACGCTCACGTTACAAATGCCGGAAGTGAGAAAAAAAATTCCTCGATTCGTTGCTCCTTTGAAATATCATACAACCAGTCTGAACATTTAATAGGCTTAGTTCTTAATGTTAAATCAAACAATTGGCACTTGAACGAGTAGTGTACTAAAGAACGCTAGTTTCACTGATAAAAGCGCCAACGAATCGAAGTATTTTATCCGCTTCCGGCATTCGTGAACTTCACGTGAGTAAAATTAGTCTGTGTATAAACGTGTTCGACATGACAAAACGTGAAAAATATTTGAACGACAAAACTAACGGCCTGATGATTTGAACAAAACAAAACAATTTTGTTTTATTATCACGAGTGTCATTTAACGACAGTGAGTACTCATAAGCATCGCGCTTAGTCGGTTGTTTTTTAAATGTAATCCCCTGGTTTTTGTTTTGATAATTCACCTGAAAGAAGAAGGACAATTCCAACCAGAAGTTCAAAGGCGTTTGAAATAAAAAAGAAAACAACACGTTAGATTTCGTGCGTCGGGAGGGCTTTTCTAGATCTCACGCAATCCGAAACACTCAATCATAAACATTATATATAAAGTGACATAGAAAGACTTAGACACGTAAGAAGCTATAATAATTTAACAGAAAGAAAAAGTACACGCACCGAAAATGGTTTCTTTCCTGACTTAAAATGCTAAAAAACGAATTTATTGTATAGTTTTTATTGTCTCACTTACTCATAATATATATTTCTAAATTTGACTTTGAAAGACTATCGTTATATTTTTTATATCAATACAGAGTCTTTATATCCGAAATAAACACATTTATTCTAAAACCAGTTGTTGGCATGATCCGGATTATGTTCCTCTCGTATAATTTATGATGGCATAATACTAAACTCCTTACGGGAGGGATTATGAATGATTTTAATATGATGAAGACATAATCTTTCGATCAGTTCAATTAATGTATGAGGCTGTCAGTTACTGCTAGTAGTCCTTTATTTGTTTATGTTGATCATTGTCATTTTGCTTTGTTTCTTCTGTCATCTATTCTAACATCGGACTCGGATTTTTTTTTAAAGTTTTACTGTGCGTATTGCTATGTGTCAGGAATCTCTAGCTTTGTTATGTCTATGCGTTGTTTAATTTTGGTTCCTTATTAAAACGAGTAGATGTGGTATGATTGCTAATGAGAAAACTCTCTACCAGAGAAATGACATGGAAGTTTGATAACTATAAGTCACCGTACGGCCTTCAACAATGAATAAAACCCATACCGCATAGTCAACTATAAAAGGCCCCGAAATGACAAATGTAAAACAATTCAAACAAGAAAACTAACGGTCTGATGTATGTATAAAACAATGGACAAAAACACATATGATATACAGCAACAAATGACAACCACTGAATTACAGGCTCCTGACTTGGAGCAAGCACATACAGAATGTTACGGGGTTAAACAAGTTTGTAGGCGCCCAACCTTCCTCTAACTTGGGAATTTGGTTTAACAGCACAACATATGAACAAACTATAAATATAAGTTGAAAAACGCTTAAATAATCAGATCGACACAAGGCAGAAAAACAAGTAACAAAAACACAGACGGACGTACATCGCCAGATAAAAAAGGAAACTAAGTACAAATCTGAGAGTACTAGCAGATACTGACTGGTAGTTCAAAGCCAATAACAACTAATAAAAAATCATGAATCTAAGAATAAAGTTAGTATTTGAGTTTAGTGTGGCGTCCATTTTACTGAACTATTATACATTATTGTTTAAGAACCAGCTGAAACCCGCGTCATGGAGCAGTATTTTCTCGCTGCGTAGAAGACCAACTGGTAGCTTTTAACTGTTTTCTGCTCTTTGATTGGGTTGTTGTCTCTTTGACACATTGTAAATATAAATGTTGCACTGAAGGCTTGTGTAATATTATTTTGACCTCGTTTTAGTGTGCGTTCATATGTGCATTTAATTGCAAGTATCTTATTTCATGGCTAGCTTTTAATACAAATATCAGATCTACGAACAACTACCTTTCCAAGCTTTAAATGTTTATACATGGACAGACCGAGTCAATCTAACATCAGTTATACGTTACCAGGATTTTAAAACAACAAGATGTGATTGTCACATAGATAAGTACTTTGCTTTGGTTGATAACAAGCTCCACTCAAAAAGAAATAAAACAAGTTATGCGAAGGGATAGCTTTGTCCAAAGTTTTCAATCATCTTTTCTATATTTAAAAGGAATATATAATGACCGCCTTTCTAAAGGTAACTATCTTTTCTTACACGCATATTATTGATTTAACTATAATCCATGTGTTCATTACACAATTACACCGCTGCATGACCATACAAGCATGAAGGTCCTATGCTTGTATGGTTTTGAATAATCATATCAGAATTATTATTGGGGTTAAATCAATGCATATGTCGAATGGGAATTTTCCGTGACTTATTTCTAAAGAACTATTCATCATATTGATATAAAATTCGACATTTACTGTAAAAAGTGGGGTTTAAAGTAAATTCAGTGTTTTACTTCCTACATTAACTTTGTTCATTAAGTGATAAAACAATATATGTTCACTCATGTAAGATTATTGATATTTGTGAGACAAATGGTGGCAACAATTTCAATTGTAAGGTTTAGGTCAAAACGAAACTTCCAGTCATGAGAAGAACTTATCATGGTACAAAATGAAAAAAATGCTGGCAAATTAACTACAACTTACAAAGTTGTGGGACAACGAGATAATGTTTTAGTTCTACCGCGCTAATTTGTTTTGCATACCTGTTCATTTTCCTGAAAGCCGAACGTGTAGTGCAATTGGTACCGTTATTGTTTTAAACCATTTTTTATTTAATAAAATGGAAAAAATGTTCAACCTCAGTGAAGTCAATTGTTTAGAGAGACGTTCGGCGTGTGTAAGATAGACGAACAGAGGGCGCTGTCAGACAGAAAATCATTTAATTTTGTCATATGATAAACGTCTTTTTTTTTAGTTTTGAACGTAGTTTGATGTTAAAGTTTAAGTAATCCTATGCTAAGATATATCTGATCGTTTGAGTACATATTGACAACCACGAAGGCATAATAGTTTAAAAACACAACCATCCATTGTACTGTTTATTTACAAATATTTATTTGATATTCAGTGTCACCAATAAAAAAAGTTTGAGAGATAAATAACTTATGCAAGTAAACGTCAACAAACGATAATTTTCCGTTTGATATTTGAGATTAACAAATTTACGTGTCATTACAGAATGGAACAGAAACTCCGATTTAACTCGTTCGCTTTCTCCTCCAAAGCCTTTTCTAATTCAGCTATTTGATCTATTTTAAGTCTTCTTTCTTCTAGTAGTTTGAAGTATTCATGTGAATAATAACCATCCAGAGTTGATATTTTATCAACGACTTCCTTTGCATAGGTCTGTTTCTCACGCACCGATGCTAAATTTTCTACTGCAACAATACGTCTTCCACATTCTTGATACAATGTTTTAACATCGTCTGCTGCCTGTTTGTCGATGAATTTATGAATATCCATTTCATCTCCATTTTCATCTCTGATTTCATTTTTTCTTACCATTACAATAATAGTGTGATCAAGAAACTTTTTGTCCCCAAATAACGCATTGAGTTCAGCAATTACACGCCTTTCTTCTTCTGTTGCTCTGTTCGGCGAAAGAACAATTATAAACGCATGAGGCCCAGGCGATAAAAATCCGATACTTTTGGTAACTTCTAATCTTACATCTCGTTTCATAGTGTCTAATATTCCAGGAGTATCAACTACTCTTACTTTCTGTCCCGAGGAAAGTGTGCCTCTTCCTTCTTTGCACTCAGTTGTTACGGATTCGCCTGCAGGAATTGACTTAAAACATCTGAACCCCACTAGGGTGTTCCCCAGAGCACTTTTTCCGCATCCGGTTTTTCCAATAAGTGCAACTCTTATTCTGAAAGAAAATAAATCCTACTGTTTATATTCCTGAGAGAAATGTTAACTTTGATATCCATATTGATATGTCAATGTAATTGAATGGTGAAATATAAGTCATACCTTATTTTTGCAAATGAGTTATATCGACAGTTTAACTTTTATCATTTGCGATATCTAATAACACAAGTGGTTGAGTTGAGCAACATGCATAGTCCATGTTTGCGATTATTGTACCACCTTAGTGACCACTTAAGCTTTAATATCCGAACATTTTATTGTTCTTATTCTAATAAAAGTATATGAATAAGGATGAAAGTAAAAATATTAGTAATACTTAAAATACTAATACAACTACTTATATGAAATAAATCTTAAGCACGTTTTTTTTTTAAATATTCAATCGGTGCAAAATATACTTTTCCAGACTTAATATTTTAGTAATATACTTATATTGAAATTCCAATCTTTAAAAAGGGTGCAAAAATTCATAAATTATTTATTACGAAAAGTGTAAGAATAGTTCAAAATGTAAATAACGTGTATAGATATAACCGACTGTGATATGGTAACCAATCGGTAAACGATACATTAAAACTAAAAGAACAACGATGAGTATCAAGTCTTAAACTATAAATGTTAAGAATTAAGTAACCGTTTGATCGTAATAGAAAAAGTGTATCTTCATTTTCAGATACAAAATAAGTTTCGTTTGTCTAATTATGCATTTAAACTTACTCTTTTAGATCTCTTTCTCCTGCCATGTTTTAAAGGCACAACTTATTTGAATGTATTGTCGTCTTATATATGCAGCTTTTTTAAATCACGTGCAGAATTAATGACAATATAACTGAATTACGAGAAATTGGTCCAACGAATGAAAAACCTTGATACATAAAGTTTATCTTTTTGTATGACATGTGTCTAATACATCTGATGTAGGTTGTACCCAACATCAGGATTAGTCACGTGATAAATAAGAACAAATTAACTTGCCAGTTTTCAGATTGACATTAGCAACAACACCAATGATTATAGCTTCTAAATCACAGTAGATTTTTAAATACTTTCGAATTCTTATTTTCATATGTTATATCATAGCCTCATTCAAAACATGTCTACACAAGAAATATTTTTTAGGTAATTTGATATAATTTTTCGGCATTCTGCTCAGAAAATACTTAACTATATTATCATATTGATAATCAGATGTGTATTCTTTTTGTATCGATAAGCAGGGACATATTACACCAAACTAATACCAAACTGAACAATCTAGACGTTTCATTAGATAACGCCAAAATGTATTGATTGATGTTTTCCATCTTATTTCAGTTTTAAACAATTATCAAAATTTATGTTAGCATGTTACAAAAAAATAGAAAGCGAAATAGACCTTCCACTCCTAATTTCGATTATTTTAAAATAAGTTCTTAGTATAAGATGTTTTACCATAACTGTTTTAGTTTTGTTAGATTTTGTCGCAACAATTTTATTTGTGCTGTCAATAGACCTGGTTCCTTCTGAAATCCTAATATATTCGCATTTTAACGTATGCATTATCATATGAAATGAATAAAGTTTATTCAATCCATATTGCATAATGTTCCTTCTATCCCACACGGTTTTCATATCCATTAAATTACTATAAAACATTCTCCATTGAAAGTAAAAATATGTTCAAGCCAAACTTATCCGAATTGTATCAATGTCCTTCTTGTGAAACACTCTAATTAGCTAATGGCTAGTGAATGATTGAGTTTTGTCTTCATTTTAAAATGATATTTGCAATCAAGTGTGCCTGTCCCAAGTCAGAAACCTGCGATTTAGTGGTTTTCATTGTTTTATATCTGTCATATTTGTTTTTCGTAAGTCGTAGCTTTTCCAGTTTCTTTCTTCAGTTAAACATTGCTTTCAGAAATATTGTAAATGGCATATTCAACCATTGGTGTAATTCAAATATTTAAATAGCTACTCCAAATTAGAATATTTACAATTTTGCAGGTATATCAAAACCTTTGATTTTGCTACGGTGTACAGTACTTTTTCCCATGCTGAATTGCAAGATCGAATTTCGTCTCATAAAACATAGCTTTTCCTACAAAAATAGGAAACGTAGACACAAATTCCTTGTTTTAGGTTATGAATAATCGGCCTTTGTGGAGAACCACACTGATTCTTAAAACATTGTTGAAAACCGAACAGTAACTTTGTTGATTAAATTTATCCAGATAAATTGCAAGTAAGGATAAAACAAATACAGTTAAATCTGCTTCATAATATGACTTACATCTCAACTAAATATTGACAATTGGGGTCTAATTGAGAACTTAATTGTACGAAAAAAAGATTTAAATTCAATTTCCCCAATGTGAAATTTCTATTTTTTGTGTAGAACATTCCAAAAGCGCCTAAATACGGAATATAGATATAGGACTCAAATATATGTTTGGTTCTAGATCTATGGCACATTCCTAATCTATAGTAAATATGACCTCATGCCATCCCAATCTATGGTTGATTTTTTAGAATCCAAATCTTTGGCAAATTTTCTTGTTTCCTAATCTATGGAGGATGTTCTAGTTTTCAAATCTATAGCAGATTTTCTGCAAATGGAGGACCAGTCAGTACATATCTGACCAATGATTTCAAAGTGGCCTGAAACAAGTCGAAATGTCCAAAAGTAGCGGACAACGGAAGCATATCCATAGCCATTTGTGAAATAAACATTGAATAATGGTCAACCAAATCGTGATGACAACTATAAAATGTTCTTAGTAAGGAAGTGATATACTAGTACATAAATACAACTTTAGGAGTGAAATGATGTGCCCAGGAGAATAAGCATTTTCTACTCGGTGCATGGGACCCTTCATTTAACCAAGTCCCTTAACTACCCAAAAAGCAGTTTGTATAAAAAAAAGTTTAAAACGTTTGACTTTTTACCTAATATTTATATTAGAGTGTTAATAAATCTTGTTTAACTGATAACGATTTAAGTCAAAGTCCTGTCATGAACAATGATTTGCCCCAAACACATGGCTTTCTTAACAAATCCTTATCTCTCCTACAGTACAGTTATTCGACATAAGTATAGCTGAAAATAATGTAAGTAGTTATTAAAAATCTATAACAGATCTTTTTTAGATTCCATATATCAAGAAAGATTATTTGTTACAATAATGCTGTTAGCTGACAAAATGCTATTTGGTTATGTTAAATGAAAATTAAAGAGTATCATAAGGATAACAAAAACAAACAAGAAAACATCATAGGATAACGAAAAATTATGAAAGAAAAGCAAAACGCAAACCAAAATGCACAGTAAAAACTCGTACAATTAAGGAAGAGGGCAACATCAGGAACACAGATGAGAACAAGAAAACAAGGAGCGGAAACAAACACAAAACATAAGCACCGAAAACACCAAAAACATATTCAATTGCGTGAAATTGCCTGCACTAGCGAATTTGCTGCTAAGAATGGTTATAGGTTTGCTCGCTAGTGTTCTTATTTAATCCGAATCCGAGTGCGTCTTCTCATTTGCAGGGATTTCCTTTACCGTCAACTCGAATTCTGAAATATAATTTAATTTATGAATGAGGGTCCTTGAAAACTGGTGTTTTCTTTTCCTTCTATATAAAAAAAAACCCGTCATTGTTATCGGCGGCGTGGACGTTATATGACATTATTTAATTGTGACTTTAATATTTACTGCTTTTCCCGGAGAACTACGAAATATCAAAATCTCCCTTAGATTTGAAGAAAACAAAAAACTGCCATAGATTTAAGATTTTTTTGGCGTTTGTGAGGTCATATTTACCATAGATTAGGACTTTGGCATAGATCTGGAACCCACCATAGATTTGAGTCCTACATATATAAGAAAGGATAACAAAAATACAGAACACCAAGGCAAATTCAAAAAAGGAAAGTCAATAAAAATAAAACGCTATCAATCAACGGAACAAGTGAAAAACAATTGCCAAAATCCTGACTTGGTACAGGCATTTTCCGATAAAAATGGTGGGTTAAACATGGTTTTACAGCTAGCTTAACCTCCTAATAATTGGCATCCAGCAGCCAAAACTGTGTAATCATGCATCACACACATACAACACAACTGACTAAAAAATTCAAACAAACATACAAATTAATCTAACAAAGACGCCAACAAAAAAGGTGTAGTAGATATTAAATTCAAAATTTGACAATTACGTCAACAAAAAAAGTTTTTGTCTTTTATAGTACATACCGTTTATATACACTCACTCGATGAGGTAATCATTAGGTAAATATAAATACAAGAGTAAACAAAACAGAAACAACCCTTTGTGTCCGAATCGCACCTCAGGATCCACCTAAACCAGAAATGCCAAAAGTTAAAAAGTAAAAAACCCGATGGCAGGATGTTTATATACCGAGTGACTTGAAGTTAGTCATACGTTGTACTCGTATGAAGCAGAATTCATTCAGAACCTTCTAAAAGACAAAAAGAAAAAGAACCTTGCGAAATTCATTAATTTTGCTTTCAGATATATTGATGATGTCCTATCACTGAATAACTCATATTTCAGTCAGTACTTACTTCTCATATATCCAAGTGAACTTATAATTAAGGATACTACTGATACAAGAAGGACTGCTTCATACCTTGATCTTTTCCTCAGTATTGACACAGATGGACGACTTCACACTAAAATCTATGACAAACGGGACGATTTCAACTTTCCAATTATCAATTTCCCATTTCTCAGCAGTAACATACCCTCTGCCCCATCGTGTGGTGTTTACATATCTCAGTTGATACGTTATGCTCGTGCATGTTCACACTATAAGGAATTCATATACAGGAGTGTGATCCTTACCCAGAAACTGCTCAAACAGAGTTATGAGGAGAAAAGATTAAAAATGACACTCCGTAAATGTTATGGACACCATCACAAATTGGTTGATCTATACGATGTGTCTGTGTCTAAACTGAATAACGACATTTTTACCACGTCTTAGATTGTGGTTTACCATCTACGTCATCTGGTCTGCTAGGTACCGAACGTGACCTATTCCCCGAATGTGACTGTTTTCCAGAGTGTGATTTCGCATTGCTATTAGACGTGTCTTTGTATTTATACATCCAACATTCATGTATTTAGTTATGATGTTTCGTTTGTAAGTCAGGTTGGATATTGTGTTATGTCTTATCGTTTGTGGTTTGAATTCTATTTTTATTAAATTATATGTATGTAAAAGTTAAGATAATTAATCAGCTAGTTCATTTATATGATTTTTAGTTCAAAGCAACTATATACTCAGGTTTTTGTTTTTGTTTTTACACAGTTTTGATTTAGAAGAAAAACCGAAAATACAAATAATTACACCATTACTAACACAATTCTATATGAATATTCTTGTAATGGTTAGAAAACACATAAATTAACACCATTACAAACTAAATCCCAATTTTATATTCTATGTTTAGAAATTTACCTGTGACGTCATTTGTGTTGCGTTGATACATTCGTGTGACACACAGTTCATAATTCTATTGTGGTGTACATGAGAGGTGTCCGTTGTTATTCTGTGGTTAACATGTTGTAATGTACTATTATATTATTTATTCATGTATTTCTCTGTCCTGAGTGTTCTTGTGTTTATTTGTACTGTATTTCTGTCACGTAATGTTGTCATTTTAGCGGTATTTTTAACATTATCCATATAAGCGAGATGTTTGGATAGCCATAAAACTAGGTTCTACCCACCATTTTTTCTTAAAATGTCCTGTACCAAGTC